GAGCCAGCAGAGACATTGGAACTGCTGGCCCTTCTGAATTTGGAGGCCCTGCTGTGTGTTCTTTCTTCGGCAGGCAGCCCAAGCGCCATCAGGCTGGTCAGCATTCAACATCATCCGGTCAGGAGGGCTTTCCATGCTGATTCCTTGTACAGCATCTCCACCTATCCTAACGTACACGTGAGTAAATGTGCATCTAAGAACACGACACAGGAAATGAGCGCAATCATAGTGGTATAAAAAATATTTTAAGGGTCTCCATCTCTGTCACAAATACTTGTGCACACCACAACCTGCCTGATTTGACTTTTGTCCTTTAGTGGTCTTTTCACACTGTGTCTGGAATGTTTTGTCGTTAACGCCCCTGCATTGTTCTCTGGAAGGTACCTCTGTAACTTCCGTTACAGTTAACATACATCTGAGACATGCAGCCGACAGCACAGAGCGTAAAAAAGAAAAAAAGAAACCTTAGCGTCTTGGATTTTTTTTTTTCCAGCGGTGATGGAACCAGGGGTTGTGATGTCTACAACACAAATATAGCCATTTTATTTCTACCCAAAAGGAACAGTAAAACCACAAGTGTCTCTTGAAGTGTTTGTATGTAAGGTTATTAATGACAAAACAATACCCAAATAAATAAACTTTTTTTTAGCTGACTTTATCTCAGTGTCATAAAACAACGTCTTGTCTTTTGTTTTAGGTATTTCAACAGTACTTCTTTTACCTTGGTTTACAAGAACTTTTTTTAGAGGAGTGCTTCAGTTTTAGTAATTTTACTTGCACACTTAACTTTCTACTGCTTTCAGTCTGCACTCTTTGTACATTACTTGCCGGTAAAAACGACAAAAGTCCAAATCATTTGTTTTTCAGCATCAGCATTTTAAATGTCATGTTATAATTAGCCCTTGGCATTTCTTTATAGAGAACAAAATATAGTCTGTGTAGTGAACTACCTTTTTCTTGTTCATTGTAATAAGTTAATGTGTTATTCTGTGTTATTGTCTTATGTGTATTTGAATATGCTTACGGAATATTTCAGCCTCAGATCACGCGTGCCCATAAGCTTCCATACGTGTTAGCTATATTAGCCTTGTAGCTCCAACGCAAAACTACAGAAGCAAAAATGGGGGAACATAACATGTCTTGGCTAATCGACCACATTTGGGGTAAGGATTAAATTGCCTACCTATGTTTTTCAGTTAAACTATGCCCTTAGTCTACTGTAAATTGCTTGTGTGCTTTTGGCTGTGTGTGTTTGTGTTACAGGCATCTTTTGCTTTATGGACAATTGTGCCAATGCTGTGAACCCCCAGACGTACCTCCCGGAAGGTTTGGTGAGGCAGAACAAAAGGAATGTGCACCTGTAGACTGACCAGCGTACACTTAGTTATTGCTCATACCAGTCATCACAATGCAGACTTTACACAAACCTATGTTTCATGAGTTTGTTAAAGCACTGTGTAATTTGTCCCATTTTCCAGGGGAACCAGTCGGTGTCCAGCACAGTGAGGAGCTTATGAAGACACTGGTCGTGATCCAGATGTTCCAGCATTCAGTTAAGTATTCATCACTATTTAGACATCATTATAAACACATGCTCAGTACTTTTGCATTTTTCTGCACTGCCTTATAGTGTTTACTTAGTTTTGCTTAAAAGGTGGTTTTCTTTTGTGGAGTTGAATGCGATTTTGTTCCACTATACACCTACCTTGTATCTATTTTTGTCTAGCACATTTATCATATAGGTGCACTTTGTAGTTGTGCTGTTAGACTATAATCCATTCTGTTTCTCTGCATAAATTGTTAGCCCCCTTTCACTCTTTTCTTCAATGGTCAGGGCCAGCATAGAGCAGGTATTCACTGGGAGGTGGTTCATTCTCAGCACAGCACTGGTCAAAGGACGCTGCTCACAGGACACTGTTGCCTGGACAGGGCCGTATGTAGTTAGTGTCACGTATGTAGTTATGCAAATGTAGCATTTGCCTTAAAAAAAAAAAAAAAAAAACTACTAAGTAAGTAGTTTAGTTTTTCCTCAGTTGCACTGGCAAGTGAAATAAAGTACACATCCAGTACAGAGAACATACTTGTGCACATTTTAATGTAAAGCTATTGTTTTCTTGCTGAATTGAAGCTATCGGGTAGAAATAATACACATAGAAAACGTAGCCTGTGACGGGCTGTAATGTTAATGCCGTGGCAAAAATATTTGTTGATGTACAGAGAAATTGTTTCACAAAAAAAAAAATTGGAATGAGCATAAGAATGAATTTAGTTTTGAATGATTGGACCACCTTTAAGTACCTGTAGCTGAGGTTCTAACAAACAAGCGCTGCCTCAACTCACCTTTTTAAAATAACAATGCCATCAGACATCGCTTTCATCTCCTTTATTTCCACATACATGTCAGCATTTGAAATAGCCTCTTTATGTACTACATGGCGTTTCTTACTTCTGTTTTAAAGCAAACATCCTAGTTTCTTTTTCTTTCTTTTGCTACTTCCAGCTTGATGGAGTGAATCTCCACAAAGCAGTGCAAGCATGGAGAACACAACAGAACATTTTTTGCATGATGAGACCAGAAAAAAAATACATATTTAAGAAAGCTGACTAATAGGTAATCACATGGCAGCTCTTCTCTGAAGTTCCTGCAACACGTTGGATATTTCAGTGCAAAAGCCACAGCGCATGTAAATGTGGTTGTGTACCATCAGTTGACACAAAAACCTTCATAATATGCCTCTAAAACACTTATTGCCCCTCATAGTGTAAACAGCACAGATTTTGTCAAGCCTTTCACACGCCAGCCTTTAAATTCTGACCTATTTTAAAGACATGTTCAGCAGTATTATGTTCTGTTAATATTAGTTCAATTTAAGGCCTACTGGGGAATTGGATTAAATAAGGATAATGGCAGAGAAAAATCAGGAGCACTTAATGACACTGTAGTATTAGCACAGTATTAGCAGTCAAAGCATATAAGCCGTTATCTACCTTTCCAATGCTTGGAGCAATGAATGCCATCAGCTTTCACAGAGTCTTTTTCTAATCGAAAGGGAGGGGAAACCTATACCCTTCGGATTAATCACCAACAACTTCACAGGGCCAAAGAGCATGAGGACTGCACAGTAAGTTTCCATTCTTTGTCCCATATTGTTAGACAGACGTCACTAACATGCTATATCGCTAAGAGAAAAACAATGTTCCACAAAGGAATTGTGTATCTGGATCAGGTGCTAAACAAATACAACACATAACCCATAACTATTTTACAGCCATTACTATATTTCAGGCTAAGTTGCCCAAGACCGTCTTCTCCTAGCAAATACTTTTTGGTAAAAGATTAAAAGGTTTCTTAAGGGCTCACATCAACAAGTTCTAAGACGATTAACCAACTTTCCCTGGCTTTGTGGCCTTCTAAAAGGAATGATATTGCAACTTCTGCAGAAGTGTAGTTATTTAAGGAGAAAAGAAATATAAAGGAACTTGCTTATGTAGAAGGGAAAAAGGTAGATGCAAAACCAGACATGGGGAGGAACAAGATGATGCCATTGTTAAGAAAAAGTCAAAGGTTTTATTGTGTATCGTGGCTTGGTAATTATTGTCACAGACAGCAATGAGCAGAAGGTGGGAAGCACACTGGTCTGAAGGGAGAGGGGGAGTCTGGGTGGTGTTTAACGTTTCTTTGGATAGCTAGAGCAACCTGACATCACAATGAAGGGAGGCTCCAATTTTCAAGAGGGAGAAGAAACAAAAAAAAAATAATTTCAAGGAGCATTCTCTAAAAGCAAGCTGGTAATACAATAGGTATTAAAGCAAAGGGACATTTAAGACATTTATTAGTTCAAAGTCAAACTCAACAACTAAAATGTAAATAGTAACCGGCAGAGGTTAGGTTAATACGTCTTTTTTTCCCTGGCCAGTGTCCTCTGATATTCAAGCTCCCCATCATCATGCAGATCAGCGGAGGAAAAGGGGTCACTTTGATGAATCTGTGGGCTTTCAGCAAAGAAACACTTCTCATATCTGGAGTAGAGGCGCTACTGTATGTGACTGCATGTTATCTGCGATTTGACTTCTTGGAATCCGGTGCCGTTTCTCAGAGAGTGATGAATGAAGGGCAGACTGAAAGGTTCAGGCGTCACTGGGGTCGGAGAACCCCGTTCTCCACCCTCCCCCATATCCCTGACAGCAGTGGTGCTTTTAGCCAAAGTTGTGTATCGCCAGGCGGAACATGTCGTTGGTGCACACCCAGGCCTCATTAATGTTCTTCAGGATGAAGCTCTGATGGAATCCCATGATGGGGTCATCATCGGCCTACAAATGAACACACAGACCAGCAGGGTTAGTTACAGTATATAGGGAGCCACAAATATAGGGGATCTACTTGTTGTCAGATGCACAATAAACATAACTGCTATGCCAGATAAGCTGCCCCTGGCAAAGTTGTAAGTCATGAGTAGAGATGGCACAGCTTCACTCTTTGTCTGATACAGACTAAAACCTTGAGTACTGATACAGTACTTTTTTACAGTAGTTTTTCTTCATAAACCACAAAGCAATGAATTGAGCTATTTTGAATAATTTTTTTGAATGACAAAAAATCTAATTTACATGAGTTTCCACACGTCTCAAATGCAGTTCATCAGCCAAGACGTGTTTGATGTCCAAATTTAACTTCTTTAGGTTAGAACTGGAGCTGCTACGCTAACGGTGCTAACAAACACTGGAAGTCAATAGTCACTTCATTTATCTGCTTCAAGTTATGTTAATAAGCCATGTAAACAATAAAACATTTAATTGAATGGTATCTTTTTTACACATTTAAGCTAAAACTAAGTTATCATCCGCATAACGTCCCACTTCCTGGAGCTACTGCACCTCCAAACTCAGAGGCTGGAGCACAGGAGCACATTATAAAAAGTACTGTGACTTTTGTAAATAAACCACGAACGGGCAAGAGGGACGTTTGGTAAATTTATCATGCACAAATCTCTGTGTATGTGGTGATTATTTTTCACCTGACAATCACGAAGAGGGTTCCAACAGGATGTTTTAACATCTATGAGTAAGTTTTACTTGTAAGTTTTTATATTTCATACATACTCATACTCTGTTCTAAACCACTTTGACTTGTCTGCACAAACTGAATTAAGACCTGTATGAAGTTTGAGCAGATTGAGGAAGTTTTGGACATGTATTTATAGAAACTGATATTCATTACAGCTTTTTCTGCTGATATCAGCCTGATACTGATATGCCATCTCTAGTCATCAGGACAATGTTTAACCAATAATATGCAAAAGCTCCATTAAGTGTCTAGAAGGTGACTGGAGGACCAAAAACACTTCAATTCCACCCAAACATTCGGATATCACAGCACATTCTTAAATGTTGGAGTCAATGGCACAATACCGCTCCAAGTTATACCCACAGTTAGTACACAATCTTTACACTCAAGCAAACGGCTAGCAGAAACTGCCCATTTCCTCAATCATGCATCTAGTGTCAATATGGCTGAAAGGGTTGGGAGACATGGCAAAACTAAATGTTTGTATTTGTCTTTGGTATATAACAATATAGAATGTGTGCTAATAAGTAACATTTCTTGTTTTCTTTCATTATACAAACTATGTATCCCTAAACTGCTATATCTTTAAAACTGCATGACTTGCCACAGTATTCAGCACGCCACAAACATACTGTATGGTAAAACAACGAAACACTCAGGTATGCTCTCAACAAAGCATGCTGCAGTTATTCTCAACACACTAACTAAAGAGTATCAAGATTAAGATTAGACATGAAATCAGGTGCAAAATAAAGCCCAGAATCATATTATAATGTACAACTTGGGCTGAATGACAATGTCTGTGTTCTTGTCTAAACAAGTTAAGAGTACAGTGAATAATGTAGAATGATTAAAATGGCAGGTTCTGCATTTTCATTGTTAAATGTTCAGCCCTATTTTATACTACATAATACTGCCATATTTCCCACCCTATAGGCCAATTTTAACACATCTGTAGCAGTAGTTTTTACCTGCCACAGGTAAAGTCACACCAAAAGTAACGTACATGCTGTCCAAACACTTTTAAACTACAATCAGCATATAAACTGACCAGTGTTGCTGCAAACCAAGATACTGTAAAAACAGGAATTAAAAATCCCCTTCTTGACTAATGCCAAATCCATGTTTGAGACATAAAAATTTAAAATTTCTTATTGAATATACAAAATTTGAAATGCTGAAAACTGTACCGATTGTAGCTTTAAAACACCACTGTGTGAGAATATTTATAAGAGTAATAGGCTTTCACAGATGTGAGATGCTATACCCTGCTTGTACCACTAGGAGTCTCCCCAGCAGGTCTCTCAAAGACATTAGCAATTTACAAACATGGAGAGAACTTTACCTGCTCAGTGTCTGAACACTTGGAGCTGCACACCACACATTCAGTCCTACATCAGATTTTCTAGTTGTATTAAATGAAAAACAACATTGACAACCTTGACTTTGTAACAGTTAAAGCTTGAAGAGAGTTCAACAAATGTATCTTTCTAAAATGACTCATCTCATAAAAGGGTTCCAAACCTAGCATAAAAGCTTTGGTATATTAAGAATACATGAATTCATACTAAAGGCTTTATAGCTTTTATGAAAGGCCACTATATGTTATAAATAAAGATCAGAAGAGTGGTCAAATAGCAGGGGAATTTTAACAGGAGCTGGTTCTGCATGCTGCCCAGTGTTATAAGTAGTAGAGCGTGTTTGGACCAGGGCAAGCCAAGCAGAGCACAGATCCTTACACAAAGTCAGAGGGGAAGGGAAGGTCATGTGACCAGAGAGAGCGCATGAGGTCAAAGGTTGTGTAGGGCAAGCCTGAAGACCTCGTTGGTGCAAACCCAGGCATTGCTGTAATGTTTCAGCAGAAAGGTCTGTTGGAAGCCCAGCACCTGGTCTTCATCAGCCTGACAGACACACACACACATACAGACTCTACAGCTCTGAAATACCTCTTCATTTAAAACCTATGAATGTGCACCTCCATGTGTCATCTGCCTCGTGTTACGGGTGTAAAGCTTAGGCCCTTTTGTATATATGAGATTAGTCTCTCAGATGGTTTTCATCTTTTTCCCACAAAATGTGTAAATACTGTACAGTATGTAGGGCTAATCATTATTAGCCCACTTCCCAGCAGTGATGCACGCTAAAGTAAATGCTGTGACAATAGATAAGAGTAGGAGGCAAAGGCACGGAGGCCATAAAAATACTTACTTTTAGTTGTCCTACTACCATACTCAATATGCAGCTGTCAGGAGTGGGCTGGTGATCTTGTGCTGTTATGCTATGGGCTATTTTTGTGAAGGGCAGGCTCTGAGGAAGAAAAAAGAAAAGATGATTTCAAACATTTGCTCACTGCTTGGACACATCTTGTACTTAATGCCTGTTCTCCATGTAGAATTACCCTATTCAATAGGAAATTCACACAAAATTGGCTTCATGGCAGGGAAATACATTTAATACATTTTTTTTTAAATTTACTATTATCAAATTATATATAAAACCTCTGCTCATATTGGATAGTAACTTTAATGGCTATATTTATTCTTATCACCATCACTGCAAAACATGAATCCTTAAGTGCCACTACAATATGATCAATGACGGAATTAAGCAGAATTTAGATTTTTTTTTTAAGGAGAATTTCCCTTCAAGCGTATTTAAACCATAATCATGTAACTAGGTTCTTACAGAGAGTTTTTCAACAATCGCTGCTTTTCCCTGGAATTGCTGTCCTTCCCACGTAAGGCATGATGCATCAATCTGTAAAAGAGAATGGGGGCAGGTAAATGAGCTGATGGGTCAATGGGTCAGATGTAAAAGTAAAGCTGTTTCCACTTTTGCTTATGTTCTGCTAATACAGAGAAGCAGGTGACAACTGACAGATGTAGTTTACACTACTACCACAGTTGAGACAACCCAAAAACAAATACAAGCGTCTGAATAAAAAAAAAAACGTGTTCTTGTGACAAAGCAAGAAAATAAAATGACAGCTTCATTCTACATCATCTTACATTAAGTGTCACATATGAAACAAATGGACCAAACTATGGCCATTCTGTTAACTGTTCATGTAATGCTGATACAAATACACAGTGAGAGACCCAATTACAACCAAGTTCATTCTCACTGCTTCAAGGCAGGCAAAGAACTGCACAAAGGAAAATTATGCATCCGACTGTATCTTCCATTAATACTTACATATATTGATCCAAGCTGTGTTCTGTCAGTGTCAAACAGCTGATAGTAATGTTGAACAAAGCTGGATCCTATTTGTTCCCAAATCGGCTTGTCTCCCATCCTGATTCACCCAGCTACAGGCACTGATGGAGAAAGTATCAATCAATTAGCTGGATTTTTAAATTGGATTTGCAACCTCACAAATTCCAAAATGAACATGTTTTATTATATTCCAGCTGAAAGCAATATAGTTAACACATTCTTCTTACACTTGTTCATGCCAAAATGTTCCACCTTGTGCTGTTCGCTTTTAACTATGGTTAAAAATACATCCATGAAATGCCACTCACACACCCCCAACACCACCACCCCCACTACCCTTAGCTTTGGTCAGCTCCTCTTCCTTCTTTTTGAGTGTTTCTGTTGATGTATTTTTCAGGCATCTGTTAACACAATGGTTTATTTTGATTCTCCTCTAGATTTCTGAGGGCCTTTATCAGCTTACCCATGAAAAAAGAAAAAGTCTTGACAGATGCCAAAAATTCCCTTGCGCTGAGTTAAAACTAAAACATTTCCTTTCATTTTCTAGTCTAGCGTGGCACTCTACGCATTAGGCTAAAATTCAATGGTAAATGGAACAGGAAAATCCCAAAAGATGTGATGACGATTTCCACAGCACACACAGTGCAGTGACTTTACCGCCGTCACTTATGAGTCAGGACTAGTGTAAAAAGAAAAGTATTAAAAATTTGTTCTGTTTTAAGAGATGTGTTGCGCTGTTTCTGGTATAAAAACTGTATTAGCAGTAGTCTTGGAACAGATGTGATCCCATAACAAGAATGGAGAACATCTGGTGAGAACTTAACATTTAGTGCTTGTTGAGGTCTGGAGTACAATCAATAACACAAGTAAAACAAGCAAGTTAGCAAAATACTACCATTAGGTAATGGAACTGTTCCTTGCTTGCAAGAAAATGTATTTTAACCAAATGTAATGTGTTCTCTGCACACGTGACACACCTCTATACACTAAGTTTTTGGGTAACTTTTCAGCCATGCTAACAATTGTTACATCGAGGGGATAACGACACATGCATGCTATCATTCCTGTCTTTGAGCGCCACGTTAATTAGGCATTGGATTGATTTAAAAATTTCACACACAGGCCCTCTTCACACTTGGTTTTAACATGTGTCTCAAGTGATCTGAGCATTGGTGGACAGTGTGTAATGCTAAAGCAGGTGGATCTAGTACTAATTTGTACATTTTATAAATGTTTGTGTCTCGACGTTGGCCCACAGTTCCCATATCAGTTTATCCCTAATGGTTATTTCAAATGAACAGTCCAAAAAACAATATGATGTCTGCTTCAAGTTATGTTTACCCTGCTTTTCTTCTTTGCCTATTTGAAACATGGGTTGTCCAACTTGGATGAACACATTGAACTGTGTGACATCTTGCCACTAAATAGTTGCTGTAGAAGTATTTTATGGAAGTCCTGTATTTATTGTACTATTTAAAAAAATAATTTTGATTCAGGACTCAGACGCAGACATTTGAAGTGGAGAAAAGTATCTACAGAGTTTAAAAAAAGTTTGAGGTATTCAAAGGTATTGTAGCTGTGTGTGGTCTGTTGGAAAGCATTACCAGTAAACAGGTCAAATTACTGGTTCTTACATTCATTTGAATTTCCTGTCTTTTTTTTGGCTTTTGCCACAAACCTTTACTTTCAGATTAAACAAACTTTGTTATTGGCTGATTAAATTTACTCTATGAGCCTTTATGGTGTGCTTGAGATCCATCAGCCACTGCTCCAGTTTAATGAGCTAGATCTTAATTTCCCCAAAACAGCTCCAATGGAGAGCAATTTGTGCCAAATTGAAAAGCAATCACTACAATGGAAAAATGTGAAATGCAATGCACAATATTACTTTTCCATAGGTGACATGCAGAATATGTGCCAAAATAAACAGGAAAAGATCCCTTACACTGATTTAACACTGTTTTAAGTACAGAATTCAGGGTGGATTATATTCAGATCTGACGAGAATTCAGATAAATTTGTTTGTAAAATGCGAATCCTCATGCACTGTTTTTCAGTAAGAAGGTCAAGTGAAAACAACATAACAGAAGTTTTGTTTTTAATTTTGGCACCCACTCTGCATGTCACTATGGAAAATGAATGTCATGTGTGCACTGTATTTCACATTTTTTCCCCTGTAGTCACTGATTTTTAGTTTGGCATAAATTCCTCTTATAATCTCTACATCAAGAAACTAAGAAACCAACTAATATTATCTGTATTCCGAAGAATCACAATTACACTGCCACCATTTTGGTGAGCAACATCAAGTTCAATAAGTTGTAATGAGAAAACTACAACCAATCCAGCAAAGGCAGTAAAACACGGTTTTAATCACTTTTTCAATCTCATTTTTAAAGTGTATTAACTGATATATTTGAGTGTATTGCCTTGATTTTATTTTGATTTGTTGCTATAGTGATAACAAATAAAAGCTGAAATCTAAATGGCTGAGATTTCTCGCTGCGTTACTAATGCCTCATCCCAAACCGCATACTAACATACTGAATAGTGTGTGAAAACAGCGCATTTTCTATTAGAAGTGCACTCATTAGTGTAGTAGGTAAAGTACAGAAGTGTGTGGTTTGGGACACGGCATTAGATCACCCAGTGAGATGTGTTCAACAGCTGCTTTGCTGTGCTGCAGGTTAGCTGCTCATTAAACATCTCCAAGAGAAGTTTAAGGTATTTGTTGATGCATTTATTGAGGTAAGATGATGTTGGCTTCGTATTCGCCAACTCGTCAGTGTAACTCAGTGTAACTGCGGCACCGTTTAAGGTGGAACGGAAAATTCAAATGAGAAGCTAGCAAATAAGAAGCTGACTTCAGCTTTATGTATGAGAGTTTCCTACTTAGGAGCTTTGGTAACCACTTTTATTAGTTTTTGTAAAATCTCACGGATTGGAATTTTCTGAAGGCTATAGGGATCCAGTCCACCAACCTAGCTAATCTTCTTGTAGCGTTTTCTGCAAACTGCATCTAAAGCATCCACATATCTTTTCATGTTTTTCATAGTCATTCTGATCTATTTTGCTTTTGGTCTTCAGCCACCTGCAGGACTGTAGCTGCAGTAAGGGTGATGAGATGAGCTCAATCAGAGCACAATCAGTTACAGCTTGCCTACCAAAATGGCATCGTGGTCTTCTTAATGATGCAATCCAATACTATGAATAAATAGTAGCAGTAAAAATAATTAAATCTCTCAAAACTGCATGGACCTCATTGCTTTTATACAGAAAAGAGACCGTGTTCTTCACTGCTGCTATATCTAACTACAAATGTGTAAATGAAACCCGGTGTGTCCTGCAGAGCTGTGAACTTTCTTTGGAAGGATGGGAGGTTCTCAAACAGGGAGCAGTCAGAGAGGAATCTTAGCACAGTCTTGTGGGCTCCACCCTTATATTTTCACTGAGAGCTCAATACATTGCACAAAATATGTAGCAGTCATATGTGTTGTGATTCCAGCTGAAACGAAAGAAGACAGTCTATATGCATTTTTCTGGGAGTGTTTTCTGCATTGTTTGCAGGGGACGATTTTACTACACTAATTAACACCACTACAGATTAGCTATAGTTTGAGGTATCTTTCCTGTGTGTGGATTGTCAATAACTGTAAGCGAATAGAAAATGAACAGATTTAGTCTGTCAGCGGTGTGGCCCGGGGGGAATGCACACACTGTAAAGCCCAGCTGCTCATTCAAAAGGTGGACTATGAGTGAACAGCCCTATTAATCACACTGCATCGGAGCAGACAGACACCAAAAACTTCCGCCGCGACTTTATCACTGTTTTATTCATTGTAAAGTCCCTCACAGCCCCACCGACATCTGTGTTTAGATGACTCTGGAATGTCACGTGGCCACCTTATCCATTTCCAGACGACTATTTGACTTCTAGCGAAAACTGCATGAAAGCTTAACGAAACGGAGTCCGTGTAGATGTTAACGTCACTTAAAATCGGACGTGAAAAGTTTTCTGTAAACTGCCGAATCATTATTCGGACCGACGGATGGCTGCTTGCCTATGTTTGCTGAAAGACCAGGGAACATGTTAAATTAACCCGGATGAACGCATAAAAAGGTGCAGTTTAAAACCGAGCTAACCATACAAACGCTAACTGGCCGACTGGACATGTGGGAGCTGCCCACCTCGCCAGGTCTGTTAGCTTTTACATCAGCTAACCGACAGAAACCCTGTGTAGCTGCAGCACGACTAACACAGCTAACGTTAGCTAGCGTTAGCCAGTGAAGTCCTCACAGAAAAACAACGCTAGCAAAACTAAGATAAAAGTCTATGGACAAATTAAGCTGCCTTTGCTGGAGCTGAAGAAATCGGAGTCGGCTCGCTGCTAGACAACACAACGAAATGTTAGCCACACTAACTTGTGCTGGTCACGCTCTCTAGCTAACATTAGCCAGCTAAGCGTGAGTTGATTCATCTCCCCGTGCAGACAGGCTAACACGGACGAGCTAACTCGATGTGACCGAGCGCAGCTCGCTAATCTAAAGGCTCAGACACGAACATGTTGGCCTGCAGCAGTAGCCTAGTCCTGGTCCGCTGTCGCAAAATATGGCTCTGTAGGGACATGCGACTCCCAACACGTGTTTTCGTTCCTTTCTAAAAATACCTCGGAGCCACTTGAGCCCTCACCGTAGCGTTAGCGCTCCGGTTATCGCAGCTCCGGCGCGGCCCGTCCCGCCGCTCTCTCATAGGCGTGTCCACAGAGAGAGACCCCGGAGCGAACGCACCACCGCTGTCGGCACAAAAGCGCAACTGTTCTCTGTTACTGGCCGTTACTAAACAGACTTCAGACCGGTGGTGGAGCCCGTTAAGCGGTATGCTACAATTGAGGCTAACTTACCTCTGTGAGCCCAAACCGATTCCCGGTTCCAGTTATGGCGGTTACGGCGCGCGCCGTGGTGGAGAAGTCGAGCCGCCCCCGATCATGCGCAGATCACACATACGTATGAATGCTGGGAGTTGGCGTTTTGGGGTTGGTTTGCACTGGCCACTAAGACCAGTGTGATCATCTGCAAATAGCCTAAAAACTCACCTGCTCTGAACAAAACTGCTCACTAAGATGTGAGATGAATGTAAGTATATGTAAAACAACAGAGCACCATTTTAAATGTTGCAAAATCATGAACTATTTATATTTGGTTGTGGCCTGGTCAACAATTCCTCCCTGCTGAAAAAAAACACCTTTAGAACCAATGGGTCCTTTACAACCCATCAAGTTGATTTCACCCAACACTAAATACCATTAGTGATTACTGGACACCACCAGGAACCAGCAGAAACGTAGTTGATAATTCCCAATAGAAACAATCTAAACCCTTTGATACCTTAAATAATGATCAATCCTTCTCACTGCGTTCTTCAGTCAGTCTGGTCCTAGTCACTCTTTAAGTTCATGAATCATGTTTCTTTCAGTTTACTGTATTACTTTTCACTATTAAAAAATAAAGGGTTGGAGGGGTCCATGTGAGAGGCAACTTATAGCACTTATCTCCCACTTCTCTATTTCTTGATGGAAAATATTTATCTTATGTAATATATGGTAATATAAACTGTTGCAGCTGGCAGTAACACAGCAGGTAAATACAGGTATGTTAAGTTCTCAATGTCTATTTAAGCTTTCGACAAAGTTTTGTATTCTTCAGTTTCAAGCATTACTCAGGATAAGGCTTTCTGAGAGTTCATTGGTTCCTTTTGAATGAATTCGGCTACTGCGCTGGGTCTTTGCTATAATAATTACAAACAGAGCGTATAACTATAACTTTTTTTTTCATTACATAACAATCAAACATAATTTGACATCGATAAATGATTATTTTAAGCCAGTTTGTGTTAACTCAATTAGACCTAATTCACAGAGATAATGTGACGACTGCTGATTGATGACTAGTCTTTGCAGTAAAAACTCTTATATATGATATAGCACTGTGTTGATATCCATTCTTCACTGAATAAATGACACAGTTGACTAATTTTGCTGATAGTTACTGATGTCTTTTAATGCTTTCCCAAAATACAAAAAGTAAAACTAAATCTATAAAAGAGAACAAGTGATAAAATATATTTGTTACTTATTCATTTCTCTTGATTTCAAAATGAACTTTACCTCATATGCAGAATTTCTAATGAATGTGTCACATGGTCTAACATGTGGCTCCATATAAGCATGTGTAATATGTTTCAAAGAACTGTGGTGAGTTTACTCAGGCTGAGTCATGGGTCCGGCCCTGCTTACGTTGGCCACTGAGAGGCGCTGAAGGGCAATCTCAGTGTCCAGAAGTGCTGTGTGCAGGTGCAGGTCTTTAGTTTGAAAGGCTTTACGTAGGTTCCAATCCAGAGATGCAGAGTCCAGTGCAGGATCAATTGTTGTGAAAGCAGACCTTAAGTCCTCCAGACCCACTTCCCTGCAAGGCGCCATGTGGGACAGGACTATTCAACATCCAAATTGTTGAACTCTATTTGTGTAATACCATCAGTTAGCTATTATTTTTGAGGAATTAGTGGACTCTTACCCTTTGCCTTCTAGCTGTGTCCTCAGCTGGTTGATGTAATGATCTCTCTCTGCCATGGCCTGCCTTTTCACAAGACCAAGGAATTCACCATGCTTTCCATCTGCATCCTGGCATGGGAAGAAACATAGGATCATTTTAGGTGGCATCATTTTATCATATAACATCATATCTGATTAATGTTGAAATTATAACTGATGAATCAGTACAGTATTAGTACAACACATTGTTTGAAAATAATACATTATATGAACATAATAAAATTCTATGGTAGGTAAATTCAGAACATTTTCCATGTAGATACATTTAGAGCTCACCTCTGTGTACAGCCTCTGATAGGCAAAGCTTCCTCCACTGGCCTCCAGTTCTGATTGTGCAGCCACCACTAGCTCCTCTAAATCCTGATCTTTCTTCAGGGGGAAAGCTGTCCTCAGAGCCTCTCTGTAAATCAGTAGTTTCTCATGATCGACCATTATTCAAATTTTTATTCTTCAGTGCAGCAAATGACTTAAAAGAATCAGAGACAGTTTCCCAGACCAGATTAATCCTAAATCTAGAGTAATACAGCTTTTTTAATGGTGAATCACCACTGACATTACGATGTAGTTCAGGACTTTTAGTTAAAGTTTTAATTAATATCCAGGAAACCAGCCTTCAACACAATTTTAATACCTCCCCCACCTGAATTCAGACGTAGTAAGCGAACCACTCTCAGTGCTGTCACTTTGTATGAACACTTTGAGCAGGTGAGACAGAAGGTGGGTCTGGCCATGGTACAAACTCTCATCCACCTGCCACACATCAACATAAATCAGCATTTTTTACACTTAATTATTAACTGATCAGTACTTCATAAGCTGTACCTCCACAGGTGGTGCCTCAGGTTCAAGAACCAACCTTGTCTGTGAGGATGTCATAGAAGAGGCAGATGAAATCATCTTTCAGGTTACGCTTGATGCCGTCCAGTAGGCTGTAGGCCCACTGTCCCGCCTGCTTTCCCTGCTGTCTCTGCAGATACTGGTGTAGAAATTTCTTCAGATCACTGCTGTCATCCGTCTTATTGGAAAAGCAAACCACCAAGAAAGACATTATCAACTGCTTTAAAGGCCCTATATCTTGCATTTTTCTTGTGTCTTATTTTTTTCCCTAAAGTCCATTTACAACACCTGTGTGCTTTTATGTACTAAAATCAGTCATAATTCATTTTTACATGACCATTTTCAACCTTTTTATCTCCTAGAATTAAACAAGCTGTTTTTTCATCAATGTGTCTTTAAGAACAAAATGTGTAAATGATCTTTTTCCGATTGGTTGTCCTTCATTCAAAAAGCAATCCAGGCTGAAAAACTTATACCGTATGTAGGCTGTATAGGCTTGTTTGACTAACTTCAAGGCACTGAACTAACTGGTGCTACCTTCTCTTCTTCACAAGCTTTTTCTCTCCATATGTCCTTTATAATTCTGACAACATCAGCTTTTTTCAGCCTGAGGTTCTTCAGTTGCCCCTCATAGCGCAGGTAGATGGGAACATCATTAGAGACACCCTGGGAAAACAAAAACCGTCTTTATTAGAAGGCAGGTCCTCTCAAGTTCCACCAGCCACAAGAAGTGCAGGTGCAGGTAGTAGTTGGACTCACCTGTCCACTGAAGAACTCTTTCTGCTCCAAGCCCATGCTGTTCAGCTCCTCCAGCAGAATCTCCAGCCTTTTCTTACTGGGTTGGCCCTCAAAGATCTCAGAGCAGGGCTCCCTGCCGCCAAGCATGTCTTAAAACAAGATGTAGGGTTACACAAACAATACAGTAACAGTCTGTACACTTTCTCCATTGCTTCTCTCAATAAGCCCATAGGACAATGGAATATACAGCTGTTCAAAAGTTTGGAATCACGTGTCATATGAATCATTTTTGTTGTTTTATGCTCAACTCAGAATGTAGATTTAAATATAATTTTAGATGTTCTACTCAATAGTTAAAATATTAAAATATTTATAAAATGATAAATTATAAAATGAAAAATATAATGTTATAATCTATTTAGAATCAGGTTTTGGCCTCGATATTTGACCACCACTTTTAACACACACAGCATTCTGGATATTACTTTTCTTATTACTTCATTCTTGATGTCATACAGCATTCTCATTCATTTTAGTGTCATCTATAACTCCTTTTATCATTCTAGATTTATTTTTTCTTTTTCTAAGAATCTCAGTTTGTGACAAACCATGTGAAACCGGTGAAGGTGCACATGACTAACATATTAGAATCCTTCTACAAGCTATATTTATCTGCAATCAAAAATGGTTTATTTTATTGAAAAAATTGGAATTGGAATATATTTTCAATACATTACATTTTTAATGGGGGTACTGGCACATAGCACTATACCTGCACACTGCTCCCAGTGTGGTCTAGGAGTGGAGGCCTCTCGGAAAACCTCTAGGTCATTCTGAAGGCTGTCTCTCTGCAGGCTGACCTGACGGTGTACGTCTAGCAGCGTGTCATATTCTGCCTTCATTTGGTCAAAGTCTGACTGTAAGGTCTCCAGCTGCAACAGGGAATCCAAGTCTCAATGTCAGTGCTTGAGCTGTGCTGGCTGATCTGTATACTGTTGATATAATCAAGATTTTTGGCATTTTACAATTTTGTACATTGACCAGATTCATTTTATGGCTGGGAAGCTTTAACCTAAGGACTTACGTATGTTGTTACACAACCTTTTGGGATGTCCAACTGTATTTCCCCTGCTCTTTTGATTTATAATAGCCCATAGCCTATTTTTGTCTGGTGTCTTGTTTTTTTGTTCCCGAAATCCAAATTCAACATATGTGTTGTTTTATGCAAATCAGTCCTAATTAATTTTTACATGACCCTTTTTAACCTCTCTTTACCCCTTAGAGTTTTTGTTATTGTGCTTTTAAGACTGAAATATGGATATTTTATCAATCGTACAAGCAGTCCAGGCTGAAAGACTCTATAAGCTCAGTGTGAGTGAGCGGGGCTAACATGCTATATGCTGAGTAGGTAGACAAATGTAAATGTGTTGGTGTTTGTGACATAACAAAAACAATAAATTCAAAATAAACTGCTTGGACCTTAAGGATTGGGGGGTGAAGGGTACATTTTGAACATTTAACAATGATTAAAAAAGACTGAGGAAAGTGCATTTTTCATGATATGGTCTTTTTAAAATGTTAACTAGGTCCTAAAGTAATACTGTCACTGTTGTCATAGAAAAAGAAACTGCCTGTATTTAGTGTTAACTGCATTTGGAAATGTTATTTTGTGGGAAAAAAATACACAATGCCTTGGTTTTGCTGGGAGTCACATGAAGTGCTGACTCATACCTTTAGGAGGTTCTCTCTATACATGCGGTCTAGATTCTCCCAGTCTCTACGAGGAACCACATCTCCATATTCTGCATGCAAGCGGTTCAGCT